GAACAACTTGATTACAACAACCTAAAGGTATTTGGGTGTAGGTGTTTTCCATATATCAGGGGTATCAATAAGTTTAGTCCAAAGACTTATCCTTTTGTGTTCATAGGATACAACAGTCTACACAAAGGATATAGATGATATCATCCCTCTACAAGAAAGGTTTACATATCCAGACATGTTGTGTTTGATGAAAACACATTACCCTGTGTGTCTCAAAATCAATCTCAGACTAACATTGATGTCTCATCTCACCTTGCTACTTTTGTTGAATCTTTCTCTAAACTGCAGGCACATGATAATTCAGGGGAAACACATAGTGATAGTACGCAAGTTACTAGTGACAATGCTACTATAACAACTGAAACGACCCCAAAAATGCCCGAAAATGTGCTTCGGAAACACCTATAATTGTAATTCCCATATATCTCAAAATCCGTGCATGATTTCGGAAATTCGACTTCATATTCTTATTCAGGGGGTCAAATTGAGTGGGAAATGGGTCTAACCCGAATTTTAGAGCAACCGTATCAAAATTCGAAAATCGCAAAAAATGCGATTTTCAGGGTCAACTTTAAAGGGGTATATCTCTTAGCACACAAGGAACTGGAAGGGCCGTAACCTATTAAATTAAACCTCTACGAGTTAGCTTTCCAATGCACTTGGTTTCACCTCATTCCGAGTTAGGATGAAGGAGTTATGACCATTTTCGTAAAACCTGTCTGTGCAGATTGACAATTTCCAGTAAGCTGTTTTTTTTTAAAAGCCTCATTTTTGAGGCTAAGTGTTGGGGCGGCCGCATTTTTAACTTCAAAACATCCAAAAACTCTCTCTAAACCCTCTCCAAAAATTCCACCAAGATCATCAACCAAATTCAAGGATCCCAAGCTTTAATTCCGGATTCAAGATTCAATCTCAAGCAATTCTCCATTCCAATCTTCATCAAGAATTCTCCAAAGTTGAGGTATGTGGGTTGATTGTGGAAACCTTCCTTTCCACAAGTCCAACCATTTATCCTCTATTTTACTTCAAGTTTATGGGTCCTTATGATCATTTATGAACTCTTGAATTATGGAATTATTACTACACATCCTATTATGGTCTATTTTTTTGTATATTATCATGAAATGGAATGATTATATGATGTTTATGGTTTTCATGCCTCAATGATCAAATTATGAAGGTTGTTATATATGTATATATATATGTATGTTGTTGGTGGGCTGTTTTATATGGATTTTGAAATTGGTTGGACTTAGTACTCTTGAAACACATGATTTTATTTACATGAACAAGTAGCCCACCATATGTTTGATAAAATGCCATTTATAGAATTCTTATGAAATGGAAGGTCCAATGTACGTCCTATGAGTCGGATGATTATATAATTATTGAAATTATGATGAAATGGACACATGTATATGATTTTCTCTATATACGTGTTGTGAGTTGACCAAGCCTAGTACGGGGGGTAGTAGGCCCGTATAACCATATCGAGGGGTTTGTACCTTGGTCCCTAGCTCGGGGGGTGGTAGGCCCGGGTAACCACATTGAGGGGTTTGTACCTCTTTCGCCTCTCCAAGGGGGTGGTAGGCCTTGGAAATACTATATTGATGGTCACTCACCACACTTGTGCTACGTCCCACTAAATATGATTTTTATGTAAGCGTCATTATATATATATCGTTTCATTAATGTGCTATCTAACGGGTATTATTATGCATTTTCCTATGATGTCCATCTATTGTAGCATTGCATTGCATCCCATATACTTAGTACATTCAAACGTACTAACGCATACTCTATGCTTACATGATGTCACCATGTAGGGACCGGAGTACCGCTTGACCCTCCTCCTCCGCGTGGCTAATACGATTTTCTATCAAGGTTATTGGTGAGTCCTCCATTCCGGGGACGTTGCTCATGATCTTTTGCTATGTATAAGACCTTTCTTTTTTTTAGTTATGTTTTGACTATGAGGGTGAGCCTGATTGTTTGTCTTGGCCCCCGCTAAAGTACCTATGTTTAGAGGTGGTGTTGGACAAGTTGTGTATTATGCTTGAGCTTGACTCATCTATGGTATTTTTGTATCGTTCTTATTTTTGTTTCTCTTGCTCCCTTAGTCCCGATTCCCCCCTTAATTATGCTTATCGCTTATGGTCTTTTTATTTGCTTCCGCGACCAAGGATGTGTAATGATACGCTATGAGGCTTGTTTGGGGTTCCTTCGGGTTCCCCATTCGCCGGTCACGTCTAGGCCCTAGGCTTGGGTCGTGACAACAACCCATATACTCATTGATGATGAGAGTCATATTGACCTCTCAGGTGCAGGATCATATGATGATCATGAGGAACAAGTTGAAAGTGATGATCCATATAGTGGCATTAAGACTCCACCTGCAGATTTGGATCTGCTAGCGGCAGTAAGGAATAGGTTGATCTTACAGGTCCTGTCAATAAGCATCATCAACCTGCAGATACAACACTTCAATCAACTATTTTAGTTGATGTACTAGTTAACCATCAACCTGACGATACTACACTCCAATCAACTACTTTAGTTGATGTACCAGTTGAGGTACTTCCTACACCACAAGGGCATCATATGATCACCAGACACAAGGCGAAGGAACATCACTTATCACTTGTTGCTTGCAGCAGCAAAGAAATTCTGAGGGAACCAAATACTACTAAGAAATCACTTAGGTCACCTTATTGTCTTGCAGCAATGCAGGAGGAAATCAATGCTTTACACACTAACAAGACATGGATATTGGTGCCCAAATCTCCTGGTATAAATTTGGTTGGATCAAAATGGGTGTTCAAGATAAAATTATAAGTTGGTGGAACAATAGATAGATAGATACAAGGCCAGACTTGTGGCCAAAGGATTCTCGCAGCTTGAAGGCATAGACTTTGAAGAAACATTTAGGGTGTGTTTCGTACGAACGAAAATGTTTTCCTGGAAAACAAGTTGATTTTTGACTTATTTTCTCATGTTTGGTTGGTGAGTAGAAAATATTTTTCGAAAAAGATTTTTAGTATTTGACTTATGAATGAAAAATATTTTTGAGAAATATCTTTTATTTTAACTAGAGTAGAAAATAATTTTTGAAATTGAAAATATTTTTTAAAAACAAACTTAAATTT